ATGGGCCAACTTCGATGGTGCTCGATTAAACGCGCCTACTTAACAAATTTATTTATTTACTCAAGTATACAGGCTATCCCCACTTATTACCCGCGGTTTCGCTCGCGTTCGAGTCGTTTCTGCAGTTTTGTTTTATTTTTCCATGTGTTTGTGCATGCAGCAGGAAAATTATGTTACAAATACTTTTGCTGTGAAAGCAAATATGCGAGGTATCGTGTAAACCGAAACAATAATATATAGTTTCTGCGAAAAAGTTGCAGAAATGTTATGGATGAAGAAATAGGAAAGAACCACTTGCATAATTTCTGGAAGAAGTTGAGAAAAAATGATGAAGAGATATGAAAGAACCACTTCCATAATTTCTGGAAGATGAGATCCTTTGTTAGCACAAAATGCGTACTTTATGTATACAGACTGTACCAATAAAAAGATGATGGCCACGAGATGAAAGTAGATGCATGGAAAGTAGCAATAATGTGTATCGTTTAGTAAACGTCGATGACTGTATCATTGTTGTCAATTTTCATGCGAACAATTAATTTACTGATATAGACATATGGTTAGATAGGACATATTTTTGTATTATTGTTATACGCTAGATGTCTATCTCACAATTTATGAAATATTTTGTAATACCGTACCAAGTCGAGCACTTGGTTATTATATTATTGCACACACGCTTATATGGTTAATTTTCATCTATTACTCAGAGACGCGATCCCTTAGTTCATGAACCTCCCTTCCCACGAACGGAGAAACACAAAAGTGGATGCAGCTGCAGCTTCTCGCATCCATGCTTCTTTGTTGCGTTCAATAGACAGCGAACAGAAAGTCGCAGGGAAGCGACTACAGTCGGTTGGAAGAAAAATTCGACTTTGCTGGTGGGGGAAGTTCGACGCACAAGAACTCGCCTCCCTCTCAACCTAACTCCTACAATCCCAGACATCTCGATCGTGATATTAGATGCACTGTACGGCGCTCGTCCCTTCTAATTCCATAAAAAGCTTGGAACTAATAGATAGTTTTAATATAAAATTAAAATTCGTTTTGTAATTCATGAATTAATTGTTAAGGTATTAAATATACATTTTATATCCTTTTATATCCTGTCCTTCCCACTTCTTTAAACAAGACTTCTGGAGGATTAAACAAACATTGCTTGATCAAGATTTTAATACGACTTGCGATATGCTTCGTCCCATTACTAGTAATCGTCCAACATAGTGGGGATGAATTCTTTCCATCAGGACGAGTGGTGGGGGGGACTCTGAGATCGATTCTTTCTTCCGTCCAACTATAGTCGAGATTTCGCTCGGCTTGTACCGTTTTTGCGTTTCGTCGCCGAACGGCGTGTCGTTACTTTCTCGAATAATAAAAAGAAAAAAGAAAAAGAAAAAATGGAAAGGAAGAAAAACAGAAAAAGAACCGTGGAAGACCGAAGGGAGACGAGTCAGAGGGTTGTCGTCGTTGCTCGCACGCCTTCTACTTTCGCAGCGTAGCGACAATTACGCCGGTCGCGCAGCTTCGCGCAAGCGCCGCGCTCTCTCGTTCGTTGAACCGTTCGTGAGAGAGACGCGTGTGTGCGTGCGACAAAGACAAAAGAAAAATATAAATGTGAGAAACCAAGGAAGAGACGGGAGAGCGAGGGAGACCGAGCGATACTCGTAGACAATACCGCGCCAATTCTGCGAGCAGCGCCACCGATGCGGGACTTTCCCCTTTTCGAATGCACCGTGTCGAAATAAAAATCGAAGAGCCGCGTGGTTTTCGCGAAACGTCGCGGAACGCGTGAAAATTTTGGCGATACCAATACGGTCGATCTCTCGCGGCGTTCGCAGAATCGATCCTGGAACTACGAAGGCGTCCAAGGTTGATCAGCAGCCTTCGGGCACGTCGTTTTCCAACGAGTCTCTTTCGTTTCTTGATCATCGAGATTTCCGATGCAAATCTGCCAGAAAAACGGCACGCAAGGCTAATGATAAGAACGATACAGTCGCTTTGGTTTTTAACCGCTTATGTAATGACAGAAACCTGTTTGGTATATCACGAATATACCGTCTGTATCAGTGGTTTTCACGGCCTTTGTTTTATCAATTGTAACATTGTTTATTCCTGTCTGTAGATTGCTTAGTTTTGGTTATATCTGGACACGTCTTTTATACGTTCCGATAGCGTCGCGGAGATAACGTTCCCACGTAGTTATTGTCGCCGACGTTCGAGGGAGGCTGGTCAATTGCTCGGATCGATAATACGCGGCGATTCCCCGCAGTTGCTCGCGGATCTTCTATTTCCTGTTTATAAGCAAACATTCTCGAATTGGAGGTTGGGAGGCTTAGAATTCTCCTGCCGCGGCTACAAAACTTGCCCGCGCAATGATACACACACGACCTAACTATAGCTAGCTCTCCACCGATGATGTTCGATAATCGTCGACCGTAAGCGAGCAAGTGTAACGAGGTTAATTTAAATAACTGGACGTCTAGTCATTGAGTCACGAGAGTTTCGCGTGCCTAATTGTTTTTCGGCCGCTCTGACCGTGTATTGTAATTAATTACGTTCGAAGGAAATAAATTGTATTTCAAAAGTTTTTATACAAAATCAACATCACTTTTGTCGTACTAAAATCTCTTTAGTACCGTATTATTTAAAGTTGCTGCGTATGCGGTTTTCTTATCGCCGTGATTCAACACGAGGTATAAAAACAATTCGTGCGTCAACATAAGAGACTTATACCTTTCGTTAATAATTTTACTAGCTCGCGTACGCGTAGACGTAGTCGACGTTGTCCCACTCGCCTTGGCGCGCAAGTGCGCGCGGAAAATAGAATTACTCTAGAAAGGCCGCAGAATTTCACCGACGAGTAATCAATGACTCGCTCGTTCAGGGAATCTCGTTCTCCCGGTCGACACGGTTCTCTATCTCTGGCCCCTTCTACCTCGATCTTTCTCCGTTTGGGCCGCGATAAATGCTCGCGCGATTCAAGCATCCGCGCGGTCGTAGTTTCGGGAAAAGCTCGAAAATAGCTGAAGATTGATCGTCGCGTTGTATTCCGGGTCGATCGGTCGTTGAGAACCACGGCTACGTTTCGTAGCCCCCGGTATACTGTATTACACATTCACGAACACGTACACGCACACTCCCACGAATACGTACACGCACACTCCCACGAACACGTACACGCACACTCCCACGTACGAAGTACGCGTGTATTCTTTGCTAACGCGGAGAGTGAGCGAGAGAGAGATAGAGAGTCGAAGCGAGCCGAACGGAGACGAGCGCGGCCGAGCCGAGCCGCCGAACGGAATCGTCATCGACGCGGCGTCGAGGCACCTCCGCTCACTCTGCTCCGAGCTGTCGAACGCGACATACGCGCTTCCGCTTCCTCTTCTCTCTTTCGAGTATACTTCTTCGCATAGAAATATTCTTTTCCCTCGCTTTCTTGCATCGAGCATCATCGTCGAACCGAGTCTCCCGGGCTTCGACTGGGAATTCAGTCTTCTCGCGGTCGTCCAGCTTGCCTCGCTTCAACGCGAAGGGATTATAATCCTCGTATCTTCGTGTCTGGCTTCGAATCTTCTGCCGCAGGTCGGGGCCTCCTGCTCTTCTCTCGACCGCTACGGCGTGTGCGCTCTCTTCGAACGAATGGTCGCTCTTTAGGACGTTCCATGTTCGATCTCGCAGGCACTGTTTCGATCTTCGGTCGGATCCTCGTGTCGAAAAGCCGCTAAATTGTTCCTAGTTCTGCAAATATCGATCTCGTAAAGCCGTCATTGTCTTTGTCTCTCGAGATACGCGCGAGGGGATCTCGCCCCGTGACTCTTCCCGACGCGTTCTCTTTGAACGAGATAGCTCGTACCCCGCATCGTCGTTAACGTTGGACAATCGTTCTGCCCCCCCTGAGGAAAGCCCGAACTCGTTCGCGTGGCTCGAATCGGGCCAGGCATTGTTGCATGCCGTGCGGCACGGGGCCCGTGCGGTCGTCCTCCATGGAGGACGCCGATTGCTCGACGGATCTCAGGGATAGACGCGCTCGCGGGCAGAATGGTGGAGGCAGCTGGCGTTGCGAGACGACTTAAAGGCTCCGAGATAAGAGACTATCGAGGTCGGGGCTCGTGTTCGGAGGTTCGGGCTTCGCGAGAGGACCGAGTGGTGCGGACGGTGGTGGAGGGGGCAGAAGACCGTGCGGCTCGAAGGTAAAAAGATAAGAGAACGTAATCAGGGAGAGAAAAAAAAAGGAAAAATAAGACAAATATACAATAACAATAATAGACAAAAACAAAAATGGAGAAATCGAAGACTAGAACCTTTTTACAACCTGGTTGGTCGTCGAGTCCTCCGGGGTATATAAGGGGTACAAGGTGCGCATGGTAACCGAAGGCAGACAGAAACCTCTCCCCCTCCTTCTCCACACCGCCCCCTCTCCCATCCGTTCCTGCCAGCTTTGAATCAATAATCTCCGGCCAGGATTATATGCGGACCCTTTTATTTTGGTGTCGCAATAAGAAAGATATCGACGGATCTAAGGACTTTAGGATCCCGTGTGAGCATCGAAAACGGTTCGATTCGGGGGGACGACCCGAGAACGCGTCTTTCCGGGCATACTACCGATTTCGTTCGAGCGTCGATGGCGCGTGTACCGCCGTGTCTCTCCGTTCACCGGTGCGCGGTATCAGCGCGCGGATTATTGATCCCTCCATCCTCTTCTCCGTCCCTTTGCTTATGATATTTCGAGGAAAAGAGGCAATGCGGAGAATGCGATTACCTTGAAACACGGGGGCGGGAGGGGGCCGACTAATGTAACTAGGATAGCTACTTAACGAAACGACGAAGCGATACGAACCGATTCCCCGCGTCTCGTCCTCGCGGATACGTTTCCATTTTAAATATTTTCTCAAGTTCAAGTCGCGCGCGCCCTCGCTGTCCGCGTATCTCGTATTTTCGCTCTCTTTATTTTGCTCTCCTTTAATGCAACTGTTTGTTGTTTTTTTTCTTGACCGCAGATTAAACGCTCCAGATGAAATCGCCATCGGCCCGGGAACGTCCTTTCGAGGCCCAAGAGGATTCAACCACGATAGAATCGTCGGGAACGGTCGTCGCGTCTTCGACGCCGTCAACGACGGAGATCGAATCTACGGAGGTCGGCAGTGATGCCTCGAGCGCTGCCGGAGACGCGCACAATGGTGCTGGTCGGTTCGACGATGACCAGGAATCCATCGACGCGTCGTCGCGCGAGGCTTCGAGAACGGAGCCGCAAGACGTGAGTTCGAACTCCGATCGCAACGGAACGAAGACGGAGGCTAACTCGAGCGAACCGGTCGCGCAGCAAGGCTGTCGCGACGAAGTGTCGACGGGTATGTGTTTCGACGGGGACGACGAGAGGAACGTTACCGGTTCGTCGTCGGTGTCTAGAAAGAGGCCAGCCAGCGACTTCCTGCCGATCAGCGCGGAGATCAAGCGGATCGGCGTCGAGATACCGGAGAACAAGGCGAATCAATCGCGTAGCGAAGTGAGAAGGATCTCGCCGGTGCTGGTCAGTCTTCGAGAGCGTACCCTGGGCGAGATATCTTTGTCCTCGGACTCGTGTCTCATCGCGAAGAACAACAGCATCCTCGACGATTCACTGACGAGCTCTTGCAGGACACCAATGAACGGAAGCTTCGATGATTGCGTGCGAATGAGCCTCGATCCGGAGGCGACAGACGCCGAGGCGGCGCACAGTGAACGCGCCAGCAGCGCGGAGGACTCGGTGACCTGTCGTAGGAACCTCGAATATTCCGACGCGTACGTCGACGAAGACACGTTTTGCTCGCTGACGCTCGACAGTCCCGAGAGGGAGCATCATCCGTGCCAGGAGAAACAGTGCGAGGAACTCAGCGAATCGTGCGCGTGCGACGACAGTGTGCCCACGAACGACGCTTGCATGGCCGAGAAAAGCTCCAAGCTGCTGGCCGAGCACGTCGATTCGCCGGACAAACCGACGCCAGATAGAAAGGACAAGAAGAGACCGATCCTGAAGAAGAAACCCAAGAAGAATGCTACGTGCGACGGTGCTTGCGACACGGATGCGAACACCGACTCTGAGGAATCGCAGAAGGAATCGTGTTTCGTCCAGAGGTGCGCCTATGAGAATACGAACGTCCAAACGACCGAGTATGAGAATCAGAGACAGATGAGCTCTCCCGTGGTAACCAGGTCGAAGTCACCGTTCCTTGAGCCACAGTCACCGTTACAGAGCTCTATGAAAGATTGCAAAGTGCTGCTGGCGAGGATATCGTCGCCGAAATTGGTGAAAACGGCGGTAGCGCAACCGACGAAGAACGAAGCGGCGTCTGAAGATGCTGCACAGAATCCGGAAGAGGACGAAGCAATCGTGCCTGCCGCATCGTCATCCCCTGCAGAAAATCTACAGCCGTTGGACGATGCCTTTTCGCCCCAGACGACGTCCAATTTAAGCGAAGAGACGAAACCATCCGCCGAGCACGAAGATCCACCGATGGAGTTGTGCTTGATTCAAAGGTGCGCTCACGAGAATGTCCAAAAGACTGAGCCGGAGAACCACTCGAACAAACAAATGGACTCTTCCGTCGTACCCAGACCAAAATCACCTGTCGAAGCAAACTCACCGTCGTTGAACACTACGAAAAGTAGCAAAATAATGATAGCGAAGGTAATGTCGCCGAAACTGACGAGATCCGTCATGGAGAAGTTTGTTAAAGACGAAACAACGTTCAAATCTATTATAAGAAGCCTGAGGGAGGACGAGGAAGTCCTTATCACCTCATCGTCGACCTCGAATAATCGAGATTCGTCAGAGGCGTCGGTCGATTCGCCTAAAGAGATGAAACTATCCGAACATAATGATTTACCGAGGGACACGTGCTCCGTTCAGAGGTGCACGCACGATGTTCAAAAGACTGAGCGAGAAGATCATGCAAAAAACCAATTAGGGTCTCCAATGCCTCTGAGATTGAAAACAACGCTTGCCGAGGAGCAGTCATCACCATTGAGCGATATGAAAGAATGCAAAGTGATCCTAGCGAGGATAAGAACGGGGATGGAGAGTTTGGCGAAGGATGACACTGAATCTAGAGCTGCTACAAAGGATCTTGGAAAGAATGAAGAAGTCGTGCTCGCCTCATTGTCATCGTCCGTAGAGAGTCTACAGCCATTAAACAATCTAAACGCATCCGCAGTGACACCAAGTAGCCCAGAAGAGATGGAACTGTCCGCTGCCCATAAAGATCCACCGAAAGAATCATGTTTGGTCCAAAGGGGTGCTAACGAGAACACGGATGCCCAAAAGACTGAGCCTGAGGACCATTTTGAACAGCTGGTGGGCTCTCCCACAGTGCTCAGAGCGAAAACGCCTCCTGTCGAAGCAAACTCGCCATTGTTGAACGCTATGAAAAGTTGCAGAATAATGATAGCGAAGGTTACGTCGCCGAAACCGACGAGTTCCGTTGCGGAGAACTTTGTCAAAGACGAAACAACGTCCGAATCTATCGTAAGGAGCCTGAGGAAGGACGAGGAAGTCGTTTTCACCTCATCGTCACCCTCCACGAGTAGTTCACAGCTAACGAATAATCGAGACTCATTAGATACGCTAGTTGATTCAACTAAAGAGATGAAACCATCTGAACAGAAAGATTTACCGAAGGACACGTGTTTCGTTCAGAGGTGCACGCACGACGTTCAAAAGACCGAGCCAGAAGACCGCGCGAAGAAACAGTTGGCGTCTCCAATGTCTCTGAGATTGAAAACGCCGTCTCCCGAAGAGCAATCACCGTCATCGAATGCTATGAAAGAATGCAAAGTGATGCTGGCGAGGGTGAGAACGGCGGTGGAGAATTTGATCAAAGACGAAACCGCGTCCAGAGCTGTTATAAAGAATCTTGGAGAGAACGAAGAGGTGGTGTTCACCTCATTGTCATCGTCCGTGGAGAATCTGCAGCCATTGAACAATCTAGACACGTCCGAGGTGACGCCAGGTTCACCGGAGTTGGAACCATCCGCTGACGTTCCAGAAGCCGTGGACACAGAGACGGAAACCGAGACCGGCTCCGACAGCTCCGAAGTGTCCGTGACGAACGTACGCCTTCGTGGTTGCGACGACGATCCTGTTTCCGACCAAATCTCCTGCCCAGAGAGCGAGTCTATGTGTTGCGTCGATATCAATTCGGAGATCATAACCAGGCTAGAGGCGGAGAGGCCAGAAGCTTTCACCGAGGATTCGGCTGAAAGTCTGGCGCTCGCCACTGGTGCTAGGGACGAAGTTAGGTCGGATGGAAGCGATTCTGGCCTAGGAAGCGAAATTCCTGGCGATCATGGACCTGCACCTGCCCCTGAAAGCGATTCCGAGACATCTTTCTTGGATAGAATACCTGACGATATTCTTTCTGACAAAGAGAAAGGTAAATAATTAAACTCGTTGTTTAGTTTTTTTTAGATTTGATCGCGTCTATAGAATAATATGTTCACTTTTTTTTTTATGGCGCCATTACTCTTATAGTACTATTTATGTCAGTAAAATGTCACAACACCATGTTGTGAGTAAAATGGACAATAAAATGATTTACTTGCACAACGATGACACAATATAAATGGTATGAACAATTGAAACACATTAATATACATATACGAGTTCGTTTTTCACGTCTTCCCACTCACACTTAGTTCAGTACCCTTTCTCACGATTCTTGATTCGTACTGACCGTTACATACAAGGGTCGTTCAATAAGTCCTTAGAAAAAGATAGAAAAACAAATTATTTCAGATACATTTTTTTTAATTTTTCAACATAATCTCCTTTTAACTCTATACACTTTTCCAATCGTTTCTCCAACTTTTTTAAGTCATCTAAAAAGTAAGATTTCGGAAGGTCCTGAAAATAGGCATCTATTTGGGCGGTGACCTCCTCGTTCGACGTTTTTATGTTTAGAAATCAAAAAAAGTCACTTGGGGCGAAATCCGGTGAATACATTCGATGTTGTAATAATTCGAACTTTAATTCCATGATTTTGGCCATTGAAACTGCACAGGTGTGCACTCGTGCATTGTTTTGATGCAAAAGGAAGTTTCTTGCTTCGATCGACAATAAAAATGAAACCATGTGGTGGATATAACTGAGACTTTGACGAGCGCCAGTACTTGGATTATCTAGGGACTTATTAAACGACCCTCGTATATTGTTCAGTCGCTCACCGCCTATAAACCATAACATACACATTATTTAGACACACTTTGTCACGGTTACTTCCAGAAACAAACACCAGGTCACGACATACAAATAAAGTTCACTTTCTTATCTTTTCATACGATCTATGATAACCATATTACCAGACATTTCTGTGTTCATGTGTCATGTTCATGTGCTATTGTTTTACAGCCGCGAATCAACTGGACTCTTTCGCGCCCACCGTTGCTACTCTCAGTACGCCGCAGACACCATTGCCGGTTTTTTCCAGTCCATCGAAGAGCAATTTAAAAAGAAGATTGATAGACAGTATGGAAGGTGCTCCCACCCCGAAGAGAAGCAACACCGACGAGTCCATGAAAAAGAAACGCAACATTCACTTCGACGCCGTTACTGTGTACTACTTTCCTAGGGCGCAAGGTTTCACTTGTGTGCCTTCCCAGGTAAATATCAATCATTTCTTGAAATTCTATTTAAAAATTTGTGCACAGACAGATCATCTTATCAATTTTATGTTATGTTATTAAATATGTATAATACGATATATCAAATCGAACCATCTTTTTTTCCAGGGTGGTAGTACGCTTGGTATGAGTGCGACGCACACTCACGCCGAAAGATTCTCATTGTCGGAGCACGCTACCGAGCAGAGGCGAATCCATCGCGCTAGATTGGCGCAGCTACGTTCCGAACGTGCTGCAAATTGTGTGGTCGAGGCGGCTTCCAGTTCGGAGGATCCCAGCGACGACACAGACGAGGAGCAAAGCGATAACGAGGAGCTGGACATCGATAGTTACTACTTCCTCCAGCCAGTGCCTACGTGGCAAAGACGAGCCTTACTTAGAGCAGCAGGTGTACGTAGAATAGACGCCGTTGAGAAGGACGAGTGCCGTGACATTAGAGCTAGCAGAGAGCATTGCGGTTGTGGATGCAAAGGATATTGCGATCCTGAGAGCTGCCCATGCAGTCGTGCCAATGTAAAGTGTCAGGTTGGTAGAGTACTTTTTGGGAATGTTTAGAGATAAACACGTTGACGAAATATGTGTTCGCGAATCCGGTATAATTTTACAGGTCGATCGAGCGGGATTTCCATGTGGATGTACACGCGACGGCTGCGCGAACAGTTCAGGTAGGATTGAGTTCAATCCGGTTCGCGTGCGGACGCACTTCATTCACACATTGATGCGGTTAGAGCTAGAAAAAAAGCAGCGTGAAGAAGAAGGTACGGATCATGACGCTTCCGACAATCAGAATGGTAGAAGTCCTTTAAGAGAAATCAATTTAGGGTCTGTAATGGAGAATAGAAACGCGGAGTCGTGCCTGAACGGGGGTGGTTTCACGACGCTGCATTACGAGAATCACGACGCCGGGGACGGCGGGGCTAATTGTCAACCAGAAGTACCTGGTACAAGAGAAGATAGCCTGGATCTTTACGCTATCAGGGATGATTGTTATCCTAGCGAGGATACTGTTGATGGTACGCAAGGACCTCAAAGGAAACTTCATCCTGAGTTTAGTCAAGCGTTTCAAACGTTCTCGAGCCAAACGAATGTCGGAGTGAACTTCCAACAGCCTACTTATCAGGACTACCAACCTTACGCTAACCTTCCTTCCACATCTAGGGTGCAATTCCAGCCACAGTTTCAAGCGGTGCCAGGAAATTCAGGGTTCTCACATTACGCGCCTTACGGACAAGACACTGGATCGATTCAGGGAAACTGCCAGGTCCATCCCGAACAACATTCTTCCAATTACGAAACTAGCTTCGCCCAGGACGAATCAACCGGATCGCAATACACAAATCTGAATTCGGTGCAACCAATGAACACTGTTCAGCAAATGGGTAAACTAGAACCGTTCTCGGAACTTTTGTCTGGTAGATACTCGTATTACGGAGAAATGGAGCCGCAGGCGCACGGTACTTATCACGGAAACGGAACGAAAGTCGAGGTAGAGAAAAGTAATGAACAACAGTCGGAAAGTACGGAAGAGTGTGACGAAAATTTTGGGGAGATCATTAAGAAGTCAATGGTCGAAACTGTATCCGCTTAGGCCGAATTGTAGATACGAAGAACTCTAGAATACTGGAACTCTAACCAGTCGTCCTTTTACGCGTTAGGTAAATCCGAGTATATTGTTTATGTGATTCTTGAAAAGAACCAATGTTCTTCTCGGGAATCATTCGCGGTTAATTACGACGAGTCCCGTGGATGTCGTTAGAAAAATTTTGCGGCTACGTGTGCGTCCGCCCGGGATGGAAACTTGAGACATTGTCCTTGTTCTATCCATAAAAAAAATTGTTGGTTATTCAATCGATCGGATGGACAAGGCGATGTTCTCAGAAAACTGTGAAGAGAATCCGGGGCCGCGAATTCGGTGAAGGATTTTCGGGAGAAGGTCTTCGTCGAAAATCTCTATGAAGTCTCCTTGAAACGGCAAGGGATTCTCAAACGGAGCTACAGAAGAAATTCAACGAGGTTGTGACCAAGAAACAATATGGGATCAGCTTAGATTGCAGTTTATAATATCTTTAACTTTAATACTTTAATCGTAGGCTCGCGGGTCACGCGTCTTTTTAAAAACAAGTTTCGAATTCGTGCGACAGCGGCGATGGCAAAAAAACGCGTATTGTTGCGACAGCGAGGCCCGAAAACGTTCGCGTCGCTGATCGATAGGAAGGAAGGCACACGATCATATATATACACAGAAACACATTTGTACACGACCACGAAATGTGAGCGATTGTGATATTTTGTGCATATAAAAAAATGCAGTTTGCCAGGCTAATTAGGTTAAGGATTAAATTATGGGACTTTTTTATGCCAGTTAGTAGGAGATCGAGTTCGAATGGTTTTTCAATCAACGGTTGATGGTAAACGATGATAGAGAATAGATTTTCCTCGTGTTGTAACTAAGGGCATAATGAATGCACACGCGTTGCGGATACATACACGTTTATAATGTGAGAGAATCATGGTTGTCTGGCATAAGCAAGTGCACGCTGTCTACAAAATACATAATGTTAAGCCCTCGTATATTTTTTTCGTTCTTTCATTCTTTTACACGGCACCTTGAAATTGCAGACCCGTTTAGTATCACGCACACGTATAAATATAACGACGCGAAAAAGTCTTGGACGAGAATAATAAGTTTTTGCATATCGACAGTTCTCATGCCCAAAACGGTCAACGGCTCACTTTTGTTCTTTAATCGCAATTTCAAGGTAAACTTCGATATAAAAGAAGAAAAACCCGTGCAAATTTTTTCATTTGGAACTAAACGACGAAGTCTAACGGCAAGGTTATGTTGCGCAGACTTTCATTCGTGTACCCATTGTTATTTACCTTGTAGATTTTCAGACACAGACCTTTAGCATCCCGGGACGTTGATCGCTATATCCACGATTAATTGAAATATTACACGTAAGGAAACAATGATAATGATGATAGTATTAAATTTATACATACTTACTGGAAGTGTCAGCTCCCGAGCACCTTCGACAGTCTTCTATTTCCGTGTTTTACACTGTGTTCATCGTCACTGATTGGTGCCTAAATCGTTACGTTTGTTGTCAGTGTACATGGTAACGAAATTTCATGTTCGAGAATAGAAGAAACGAAAGGAAACGTAGATACAAGTACTGATGCGTTGCGAGGGATGTGACACCTTACGACATAATATACTATAAACTACACGTATGTAAGTAACTTTTAGAGTATTTGAGTAAAAAAAAGGCATACATAGTTGATAGCGTTTTATTAAATGTTGTGAAAAAGTCTCTTGTCTGTTGTGTAATGTGTTGTCTCATTGTGTGTACGTCTTTTTACATTTTACTATTTCATCCCTGTACATTTAAACCGATGATACCACACTCCCGTATTCAATTTTTTTTCATCGTCGTGCCGGAAGTTACTCCAAAGAAAACATAACCTTATTTTATGTGTTGCTTTCCCAACTTTCATCATTTCCAACTCCACGCTACAATTCCATTGCATCGATAATTAGAACTGTTGAAGTATTTGTACATCCCCTATCGGAAGTGACTTCCGCAGAAATGCATTACCCTCCGTCAATTACTACTGTACTTAATATTACGTTTAAGCGCAACAGCGATTAATTGGCATCTGTTCGTATCCGCACACATTCAATCGAGGACTTTACAAAATAACGTGATTTAGTAGCCATAAAATGCATAAAATCCATATTGTTCCCTTCCATAACGGTAACATAAACGTCCTATTAAATCGTCGTACAAATCCGCTGCACGACGCGAATGCGCGCGCACGTAAAGTTTACAACATGGTTTCCTGAGCGGGAATCTTTCGCGCGTCGCGGTGTCGATGATTTACCAAGTATTTTCAAGCTCGCGTGTCAAATTCGAAAACACGGGCCGGTTCGGATGATCGGCCTTCGAAACACGGAAAGCGATAATTCACGCGACGTTACGTACGGTAAGATAATTCGTGCGTAAACGTATCGGTTGTCCCTCATCGTTCGTACAATGGTCAAGGAGTGGGGGTGACGCGATGGAAGGGAATGGCATTAGCAAGCTGTTGAGTCGAGAGCTGCTGGAAGTTAGCGCCTGTCCGTGAGTCCGTGCGGAGGTTAGTTTATTTGGTGCGGGGAAGTTTATTGTTTAATCGGTTTTTTTTTCTCCCAGTCGCTCGACGAGACCCGTAAAAAGGGCACGGAGTAAGATTCGAGTGGGGTGCAGTGCGGGATGCGTGTTCACGGCGTAATTTAAAAGTCTACGACGAGTTTCGTGAGAACGAGCAATACGACGGCGTGCTAGTGTCGTTGACGTTTCGTGTGTCAGTGTCCTCTCCCTCTCTTTTCTGCGTTCGTCCTTTCTCGCGTCTCTGTCCTTTTCCTTCCCGTCCCTTCTCTGCGTTGCCATCGTGCCACCAAGCCGCGTCGTTGCTGCAATGCCAGATGACAGGTGCGAGGCGGTACCACCGGTGTTTGCTAACGAGTCCTTCGAGTGTCCTGCGGATTTAGGATACGCTGCAGAATGACGAGCGCAAGGTTGTTCTATCGGAAGGGCGGCGAAGAGGACCGAAGACGAAGACGACGACCACGACGACGATCTCGAATTCCCTCGCGCTAGCGGTGGGCTATGAGCGCTGACAATGGGGACGACTCCTTGGTAATTATCATACCTTTCTCTTTTTTTTATTGCTCTCTCTTGTGTCGTTTCTCTGTCCCGTGTCTGTATTACGGGCAACGAGACACAGGTTGACAGCACAGGGTTCGCCGTGCGGGAATTAACGTGGATTTGAAAGCTTTTTCTCTGATGCAACGCCGTCACGGAGGAGATATAACCCTCCTGGCGGGAATTTGTATTACTTGGATCAATGCGCGTCAAAAATCGTTTCTATTCCAATCAGGAAAATATACTACCGAAACGATTAACGAAACGATCATACGCGAAGGATCGAGGGACGTTACTACAGCAGAATCTCGTGATCTGTGTTTTTCTATCGTGATCTTTGGATATACGTGATCTTGCGCTACCATGCGGCACGACCGGTTTTCACTTATTCATAATGCTGGTTAGTTGTCTGCTAATATTAAATGTATTTCTTCAGTTTGTTTGCAGTATCTGTCCGTTGTGTTCGTCGTTTCGAATTTCAAAACGTTGAAACGACAAGTCGAAAATGTTTTCATTTCCCATTTGGAGCAACTAACAACTTTAAACATCGATACGCGTGGCGTAACGTTCAAATAAAGGAATCATAAAAAATGTTGTCGTTGCGTCGCCCGGATGAATCGATTTCGATTCACCTTGTACATAACGAGCTTCGACCCTTTGACAATCGCTAACATCGGTGACTAATCGGTCCGTGTGGTATTCTAAGCACGTTGTGCTTAAATTCGCTACTTTTGACAGGACAGTAAATTTAATGGAATTGAAATCATGGTTTATTTATCAAGGTATATCCTCCTTTTTCGTTTTTATCGTACACCACGTTTCTACGTCACTGGTAGTTGTCACACGTTGTGAAATACGACTTTCTAAACGGTCGAAGAAAAAGGAGTTATAAATTATATCTCTATTATGTGGCCCCGTGATGTTAATTGCTAGTAACTCGGATCCCGTCACGTGGTTCGGTGAACACGTGATCCCTTGGGCCAGACTCATCCGTACAGGGTAAAAGTTATTTCTTGTTTGATTGCTGAAGTTGCGAAACTCGCTTTACGTTTCGCAAGTTTGCCGGGAGTTCGGAGGCAGGACAAAACGGAACGAGAGCAGAATACAATTTTCAACTAGAGTGCCTCCGAACGAAGTATGCCTACGTGTTTGAAATTGCTCCGGTACAACGTATGTACGTCGTCAAAGACGTCTAGCAAGACGCGTAGCCGTGGAAAATAAACGTTGCGTTTACCTTTATCATTATTTTATTCAAAGGATCGTTAGAATCTTCTCGAGTTCAGGTGTATTTCGTTGACCTTTGTCCCGTGCCTTATGGAACGGTTATACGTACAGCTTGTAGTTCGACGGAGCACGTTCAATAACTCGAGAGTCAATGAAACTAGCGCACGCGAAGGTATGCTTACTATTGGAGGACGACCGTTCTGTTTATATTAGAGACACTTCGGACGGGCAAATTATTTTCATACATTATACATAGGATCCCGCTACATTTCTGGTTTTCGACGGTGAACCTTCGAACCTTCCCTGCTTTCTATCTCCGGTCTCCGGTTAGAATAGTTACGTGCGGGAACGTCGTACAGTGGAAACGATTATGTTTTAAGTGAAAGCAACAAGGCCAATTCAAGGTCATTCAAATTATCCGCGCACGACATCTATATTTATTCGTAATGCGTGGCAGAGGAGAGCATAATGGGACAAGTTTTTTTTTAAGTCGTATCGTTATAACGTAGGAATTTTTCTGAAAGTTTGGGAATAACTTTATTGGAAAAGGTGTCAGCAGAACCGTGCCTAGATATTTTGGTGCCCAAATTTAATATGAGGTAGATGCACGTACAGTATACGCAGTATTCCCCTATGTACATACAGGGTGTTCGGCCAACCCTGGGAAAAATTTGAATGGGAGATTCTAGAGGCCAAAATAAGATGAAAATCAAGAGTACTAATTTGTTGATTAAGGCTTCGTTAAAAAGTTATTAACGTTTAAAGTTGCGCCTGTAGATGGGCAACCTGCGCACAGCTGTATGCGCACGATAGTGGTTCTCACTCAGCATGAGAAACTGTACTTAGTGACGTATCGACAGCCTTACAGTTCGCAGATCGCCGTTCTACAGGCGGAACTTTAAACGTCAATAACTTTTTAACGAAGCCTCAATCAACAAATTGATATTCTTGACTTTCGTCTTATTTTGGCCTCTAGAATCTCCCATTCAAATTTTTCCCAGGTGTGGCCGAACATCCTGTATAATAAATGCGTTGAGTATAAATACTATATAATCTGAGGATGGTTGTTGGAGGAAAATATATGCACATTGTTTTCTGTGCTTACCAAACCACTAAATTACAAACAAATGGCATAAAAAAAGTTCCTGAGGGACCCAACAAGGGTTGAGTCTAATCTAAAATCTTTCTTTTGAAATCCACGAGAAAGCGAAGCGTCGAGAAACACTGTATTATTATATTCGTATCGTCTGTGTATCGTCCTAGATCGCTGGAAGTTCAGTTTCCCGATCCGTTTTCCGCGTTTGTCGAACGCGCGCCGTGGTCTGGAAAGTTTTTCCTCGATTGGAAACTCCCGGATCGCGATGACCGTACTCGAGCTCCCGATTCCTTCGCGATCTTGCACGTTAGTGGCGCTATGAGAAAGGCAGGGCGGGTATATGTATAACGCTTATGAGAATGCAAAGTAATACGTGTCAAGTCTAACGAGGCGCGTCGCGGAATGCAGGAGGCGAGAAAGAAGTTCGAGCTTCGTTACAAAACGGGCGGAACTCTTTTCTACAGGGTGTCCCGAAATACGTACGATACGGACCGAAAGTGAACGATCGGTTCACGAACTTCGGGAATCGTACGTCGAAATAAATGTCTTTCGAGGTTATACAGGGAAAAATTTTAATGGGAGATTCTAGAGGCCAAAATAAGACGAAAATCAAGAATACCAATTTGTTGATAGTGGCTTCGTTAAAAAGTTATTAACAATTAAATTCAAAAATTTCGAATCGTTCTGGAAAAATTATTTTCGGTTGCAGGGATCAATTACAATCATTTTTGGTGAATAGACATACCTCCGAAATCCTACCCACTTCCGAGAAAAAAATTCGAAAAGGTGTGAAATTTTTCGACAAAACTAAAAAATTTCAAATCTTTCTGGAAAAAATATTTTCGGTTACGGGAGTCAATTATAATCATTTTTGGTCAATAGGCATACCCCCGAATTCCTACCCACTTTTGAGAAAAAAATTCACGTAGGTGGTGAAATTTTTTGGTGAAAAAAAAATTTCAAATCGTTCTAAAAAAATTATTTTCGGCTGCAGGGCTCGATTACAATCATTTTTGGTCATTACTCATACCCCCGAAATCCTACGAATTTTCAAGAAAAAAATTCGATAATATGCCTAAATTTTTCGACGAAAATGAAAAATTTCAAATCGTTCTAAAAAAATTATTTTCGGTTGCGGGGGTCAATTACATTCATTTTTGGTGAATACACATACCCTCGAAATCCTGCGCATTTTCGAGAAAAAAATTCAGTATGGGCGGAACTTTAAACGTTAATAACTTTTTAACAAAGCCTCCATCAACAAATTGGTATTCTTGATTTTCGCCTTATTTTGGCCTCTAGAATCTGCCATTAAAATTTTTCCCAGGGGTGGCCGAACACCCTGTATAGTATTTTGCGACCATCATACGGGAGGATACTGTGTCGGGAAGCGCGTCTCTGGAAAAGTTGAACCGTACGAGGGAACAAAGAAGGACTTTGTGCAAGAAACTCGAACGATAAACGAGTCGATCCGGCGCGTTCGATAGATGCTGGCCGTGCCAATGCCACGGGTACTGTTACTTCTCGTTATCCGACCCAAGGTGAAGAGAAAATCTGCCTTCCACTACCGCACGATGCAAGTCGAAAGAGTTTCGGTTTTCTTTGTCGCACGTATTAGCGTTTACCTGTGCATAAACACGTCTTCCGTGCAAAAACGTACAGAGGCAAAATTGTAAAAAGCATGTGCAATCTCTTCATCTCACCATATCGAACGGGTCCGTCTAGTGCTACTTCTGTTCGACTATGGCGATGACTCTCAGGATTCAGGAGTCTGAGTACTCGTATTGATCCAGTAGGTAGACTTGTTCGAGTTCTCGGTATAAGCGAGCCAAACTTCCCCCGTTTACAGCACCTCTCGAATTATTCAGTTCGATTCGAGGTTGGGTTAACGATAGGTGGTCTCGTTTTCCGTAGTGTACATTAATTTTTACTTGTACGCGTTCTTTTGTTAAGCTATACTTTCTAAGTTTCTTAAGGTATACAACTCTGACGAAACGATGATCATCGTAGTTATTATTATTTTAAGTCAAGTCAGTCGAGTCAGTTTTGCCTAACATGGTTTAGGAAGTACTTTGAGATGAGTATACTACATTTTTCCTTTTCTTTTTCTCTCATCTTGAAAACTTGGAAAGAAACTTTAGTATACTCAGAACTCTCTCTGAATCATGTTATACTATAAAATGAATCAAACGTTGGCTGTTAGTTCGTGGATTTACCATGGTACAACGTCTATCGAGTAACATTAATTATAAAATACTATTTTCCAGCAAGTAAAGAAGAATGTTTACTATTTCCTTAATATTTTCGAGCAAGTATCGAATTTGTCGACGCTATGGACGATGTATGCCTCTACTGGACGAATCGAGTTTTCTCTGCTGGAATTTCGAGCTGTTCGAGTGTTTAGAAAAGCTGGAGGTTTAGAATGTTCGAAAAGCCGGTCCGTGGCGATTTCGATTAGGAAAAAAATACGCGTCGGGGTACATCGTCTAGGTACTTTCACATTTCCATCGTCGCGGAGTGCGTCGACGAAGAAAACACGGGGAACAGAGACGGTTGGAAAGGAACGAGAGAGAAAAGAGATTCCTCTCGTTTCGTACTGAATTCTGAATGGGCATCCGCCTTTCTCACGATCGAACCGACTCGTGAGAAGATCGATTCGTGCGAAACGCAAGTG